CAGCCTAATCACACAAGACTTCACTGGAATTTGGTTTTATTTGTAGAATGATTAAAAGCTATAATAGGAAATGTCACCAAAGGTAGCCTAACATCATAGGCCTGCATGAAAATTTACGAGCTCCACTTTACGTCCTTAAAGATCATGTGTTTCCTGTGGAGGTGACGTATTTCTGGTGGAGCTCCACTCTACAGGCGTCTGCAGCTAGACCCTCTTGAAGAAAATAGCTTACATTAAATGAACTGATTATTAAACACTTCAATACCACCGCAAACTTACACATAGCTTAACATGATGTAGTCTAGATAAGTCTAAATAATTTTTTTTGTTTGCTTAACCCCCTGGGTTTCGACGATGCCGCGTATCTTTCCAAGAGGGTCTAATTGCAGACGCCTGTAGAGTGGCGCTCCACCGGAAATATGTCACCTCCACAGGAAACACGTGATCTTTAAGGGCTTAAAGTGGAGCTCCAGTTAGGGTTAGGGTTAAGGTTAAGGTTAGGGTTTATTCGCTGTGACGCAGTTTATTCGCTGTGACACAGTTGAGGCCACGTGTTTCCTGTGGAGGTGACGTATTTCCGGTGGAGCTCTACTCTACAGGCGTCTGTAGCTGGACCCTTCTCATTTTCTTTCACATTTGGGCTCACCTTTCTTGGGAAAAAAGTTTGTAAGCAGTTGCTTTCCCTCTTTTTTTTTTTTGTTTCTTTCCTGCCTCTCTTTTCTTTTTTGAAAACCGGATTTAGCTTTCTTTGGCATCATCTTCCATCACGGATTCAGCTCATTCAGCAGAATGACCGCTAAATTAAATGCACCTAGTTAAAAAGCCCGGTGAAGACTAAACCATTGCAGGGGGTGAGGGTGCTTGTCCTCAGGCACTGTAAGCTAGGACACAATTCAGTCCGTCAACTGATTTATTTTCCCACAAAAATGACATTTACATTAGTTAGCAACATTTATTGTGATCTTTGAATAATATTAATATTTAAAGGAAAAAAAATTCCAGATTCCTTAGGGGCCCTCCCCCCACATGAGTGAGCAAATTGTAGAATATACCAAGATGAAGTGGACCTGGATTAGCAAAACATAAGAGTGGAAATTGGTGGTATAGATGGGCTGAGTATACCGCTACTTCATTAGGGAAGGAGGATTGTGTGGTGTGTGCAACTTCTGACCCTCCAGCTCGGGTAGTCCCGATCCTCCTTCAATTTTAAGGTTTTTTGTCTTTGAAGGAAATATGACATCTTACAATTTAGATATTTTCTAATTTATTCTTATTTCTAATTTCACAGCATGTCCTCTTTAGTGTACAACAGGAATAAATATGTTTCCTAATATCAGTGAAAAGAGAGACCAAAAACAAAATTTCCACTGCAATGAACATAAATGAATGGGTGGGGTATCAGGAGGATATTTACATTTTTGTCCCTTAATCTCCACTGGAGCAGATTTAGAAATATGCTGCACTTGTCCCGAGAATCCTATGGTCCTGACCTTTTCAGCGGACCAGGGGATATGACTGGCATCTTTTAGTCCTACACAACTGTAGGTGGCTGCAGTGTCTATCATCATTGGTATTACTTTGCCATTTGAATCTGCAGCATCGGCTCAGCCTCAGACCCCTTACTCAACATTGGCATCTGTGGTCCCCCTTTAGGATTCTCTGGACATCCCTAAAATAAACATCCCTGGGCCCACGGGTTGATCAGGCCCTGTGGTCTGCTATTCTTTAACTGCGGATTGCCACTCCTTCCCTATTTGGCATTGGACCTACAGGGCCTCCTAGATTAACCGGGGCCACAGGGTGTCTCTGGCTCTCCCCCAGAAAGGGTGGATTCGGGCAGACTCTACACATACGGCCGGGCTGATTGCAATTCCAGCATACCGGCTCGGGTGGCCTGTTCCCCAGTCTCCCCAGAGACTAGAATCACCTGATTTGTGGGAAATTAAGTGCCCTCTGGTCACTCTTCCACCTATCATATCTACTCTCTCTGTTCCAATCAGGGACCGGAGGCCAATTAGTATCTTGGGGGGGGGCCAGGGACAGGAGACTGCAGGCTGTCCACAGGCTGCTCCAGGGGGCTTGGGTCCGGAGAGACCACTGGTGCCTGGACTTTTTCCTTTTTGGCGGTCAGCTCTCGAGCTGCATCTGATTCAATTTCTTTGTCAGTTCCCTCTCACGCTCTTTAGCAGAGTCCTCCTCCTCTCTGTACAAGTCAATAGCATGGATCAGCTGCTCACGGTACTGCTCCTCAGGCATAGTAATGAGTCCCACAACTTGCCTTAGCCTGCTTCTGACTGGCTTAGGGAGCGCGTCCTGCAGTGCCCTCCGGTACAGACCTCTGAATGCCGGATTCTGCAGGTCCTGCTCTGTCTCAGTGTGCCATCGCTTTTCTTGAGCTTGCAGATAAGCAGCTGGGCTCTCCCCCTCCTTAATGGGCTCCACCTTCATTTCAACCACACTCAGGTGTGGAGGAAACATTACTCGCAGCTGGTGCCAGAGGTTAGCACGGTAACCGTCAAAGTGACATGCATCATTCACAGGAGTCCCTGTCGCCGCTGCCAGGCCACTGCTTCGCAGCAGTCTCTCCATTCCGTCTACCCCCAAAATGCGAGCCAGAACCGCCTTTATGTCCCCTATTGCCAGGAGCCGTCCCATAGTTTCCTCCTCAAATGCTTTTATCCATTTTCCGGCTCCTTCTGCCAGAACTGGAAGCAGGCCTTCCAGATCCTGTCCTGCCCACGGCACATACTGTGTCTGTGCTCCTTTCACCACCAGGGGGAGCATCGGAGTGTACCTGGTGGGAGGCTTCACAGCCCTCCTGCTTCTCACTACTCTATGATTTACATTATCCTCCTCTACTCCTTCCTCACTTTCCGTTTCTGTCTCCTTCTCCTGAAACTGACTCCATCCTTTAGATGGAGGGTTAGGGGTGTCCAGCAGATGCACCAGCCCTTCTGCATTACTACCACTTGCTCCGTACCCCACCTTTATCTCACTCCCTTGTTTCTCAGACCCACATGCCTGGCCTTATGTTATTATCTCACTCCCTCGCAGTCCTTCATCCACAGCCTGCCACAGCAATGCACTCACTTCCCTGTATCCATCTAAACAACTTGCCGTTACTTTCTGCTCCCTACTTGCTTCATCCTTCTGTGTCACCTCACCTCTGAATTCTACCTTCCCATCTATTACTGGAAACTGACCCTGATATGAAGGAGGGGGGGCTTCCACTAACGGGTACTGACTTTGATACGACGGCAGCCATATTTCTTCCTGCCTCATCCCTTCTTTCTCACCCCCCTTCTTCTCATTTAGTGCCTTTCTCATTGCTTTCTGCTCCCTTCTGCAGACCTCTCCCTTTGCTTTAAATAACCTCAGTACCTCCAGTTCCTCACTCCTTTTCTTTTTACGCCTTTCTGTGTTCTTATTAGCCTTATGATACTTTATCAGAGTCTCCATCTCCTCACACACTTCCACATCCCATGTGCCCCCTCTAGGCCACTTAGTTACCAGGGCCTTTGTTCTATTCCCCCACTTTTTATACATCTTTTCTGTCCTTGCTTTAAGCAGGGGGTGCTCTCTCCTCAACTGCTGTACTGGTGTTTCTGCTGCCTTTACCGGGGCCTGCATTTTAATGCTTTCCTGCACTCTACTGTCACTTGGGCTGTTTTCCTGTCTGGTATAAAAGTTAACAAATTTTCTCACAGTCAACCCGTGCTCTGTTGTTTTCCTTTCTTTTTCTTAATAAGAATTCTCTCCCTGGCTGTACCTACTTCACCTTGACGTGCCATTACCTCTAAATCAGGGGTCTCCAACTCCGGTCCTGGAGAGCTACTATCCAGTTGGTTTTCTATCCTACCTGGCTTCTGATGAACCACACCAGTTCTCAGGTAAATACCAGGAGCAGGTGTGGCTCATCAGTAGCCAGGTAGGATAGAAAACCAACTGGATAGTAGCTCTCCAGGACCGGAGTTGGAGACCCCTGCTCTAAATTATTAGTTTTCTACTTACTCCTAACATTGCACCCAATTATCCATGAGGACTCGTATACTGAAGCCCCCCTCCTGCCAAATCCTCAGACTTCTCCTTTTTTCTTTTTAATCAGCCTGATTTACGTTTGTCTGCCCACCATACACATAAGCCTCCTTACGCTTTCTTGGCTAAACTCCCTAATTCCATGAGAGGTCACAAAAACCTCTTGTTTATGTACTGTTTTTCTCTCGTAAAAATGTGTTCTAATACCCTTAATCTCTGGACTTAGTCTCTATAGTCTATAGAACCTTCTAATCACACCATTTCATTCAAAAAACATTATTTTATGATTTGTCAAAGTTCTAAACTGCTCTATCCAGTCCCCTTGCTTGCTGTTTTTGGGGATCCAGTTGTTACTTCAGCTATGGCGAGCTCCATAAACAGTGAATCAACCCATAACTTATAAATTATGGAGTGAATGAGAGTTACTTTATGGAAAATCGTGCCATGTTTTATCTTCAAATGCGGGCAAAATGTTGTCAGCCACTGTAATTCAGAAATTTATTGAGAACTTCCAGGAGGTGCACGATAGTAGTACAGCCCATCTTTTGTATAGAATGCAGCAAGAACTGACCAAGTTAAATGTGCTTGAAATTATATTAAAGAACTGGTAACACTTTACTTAAAGCTGTCATTTATAGTGCATTATAGATACCTTTATAATGCATTAAAATGGTCGGTATAAGAATTAATAAAGCATTACAGTATCTTGCATTGAAAGTCTTAAGACTTTACAATGTCGATGTAAGTGCCCAAAGCCTTTCTGTTGTCTTTCAATTCATTGCTTGTAGGCCATATGACAGAATCATATTGGGAGAAAAGAAACCCCAGTGGAAAACAGATTTATACTATTATTAGTGGTAGTAATATTATTTAACCATAGAAACTAAAACAAAAGTTATATACTGGTTACATGCGGTAATTTCTTGTGTATTCCTTATTACTTTCTTTCTTATGCTTTTCACAAGTGACTACTACTCCTGCTGATGCAGAGAACCAATTGTCTCCCCATCAGCCTAAGGCTAATCATGCTAGGTAAGATTTTTATTCAGTAAAACATATTACATTGAAGATAAATTTCCAGTATTGGCAAAGCAAATTAGTTTATTTTTGTAGCATCTCTGCTGAAAATAATAAATGTTCAAAAATATGCCTGAAACGGGAGAGCAGGTGCAATGTGCAGATAAGGTAGTAGTGTTGTTACTAGCTTAATGTTTCACTTATTCTGCAGGAGGCAACATCCTGAGTGCATCAAAATGGATGTTGTCATTTGAGGGGCATGTTGCACATTCAACTCCAGTGCCTGACTTCGCCACTGCCTTGGTTGTGCTTTTTGCCAGTTATGTGTTCAGCATTGAATATCAGGTGGAAGCAGCCAGAACACTCGAATTTCTTCAGAGGTACGGTTCATATTTTGTCTCTTTACATCACTTTTTATTTACATTAATTTTAACTGTAATTATATTGCTATTACTATTCATTTGTGTTTTTAAGTTATATACATTTGTTCATCATATCCCTGAACATTTTTATGTTCTTATATAAAATTATAGTATGTTATAGTTGGCAACATACCACTCTCAATATTTATGTCCTTTTCAGTTGACCCTAACCAGAATAATACCTACAATTATCAAAGTTACATATTTTTGCTGGTTTTCATATTCTTGTAGGTTCCTAGTCAGGATTAATACTGATTCCAGCAAGTGCAGTGCCAGTATCCACAGGAGCCAAAAAACTGGGAAACTGGTAATACGGAAGATGCACATATGAACTCATATGTCAGTTCCTTCATTAGAGACTTCACCGAGCTTGATTGGCAAAATGACTAGACATAGGTGAGTTTTACTACTTGGGCTTTAAACTGACAGTAGTGGTAAAACATCCCAAAAGACTCCATGTAAATGTTCAAAATCACATTTTATTATTCAGGGACACAGAGAAACATAGTGGATGTAACTGAAAAAATTGTTGAGATGCAAGCAGTTTTGTCATTTTTTCCAATAATGTGAAGACTTTAACAGCTTTGAAAACAAAGAATTGTTCAGCGTTACACTGTTAGTGAAGAAGAATTTATTTAGAAAGGACACGGTCTACAAAGGCATAGCCTTTGCGGACTGCGTACTTCAAAGGTTGAATTATAAATGTTGGGAAATGGGATGGTCTGGCCTAAGAATAATTTCCTATCTGCGTCACCAGCTGTTCCCGCCTTTACCCTTGCGTCATGAAGCGCCACTCCTATCGACTGGCCTGGGACACTCCCACTTTACATCCATGCTATGAATCTTGGCATAGGTTGGGCTGGGAAGGATGCATTTCTAGAATGCATTTGAAGGAGACTTGTAATGTGTGATATTAATATTGACATTGCAAGCTATGCACAAACGATTCTCATATCGCAGCTTGGTCGAGATTAGGCTTTTGCCAACCTGCCTACTGTATGTACATTAGACCGCGGTATAAGGTATTTTCATAAACAACCTTATTTTTCAATACAAAAATCTTGGTGATGCCACGCCCTGCTTACGTCCCTTCCGTTCTCTCTCCCCAATGTGGCTCTAATGAACCACACCAATTAATTATTTGTCTTGCCTCTCATTTCAGCCCTCGTGTGACTCACTACAGCTGCCTCTTGTCTACGGCTGCACGATATATCGTTTCAGCATTGTCATCACGATGTACGCACGTGCAATAGTCACATCGCAGGACATCCAATGTCAAATAACACAAATTAAATTAAGCGGCGTGGGCAACGCTTTTGGTGTTCTTATTCTTAAACAATCCACAAAAGTCTGTCTAATATAATTTAGGTCAATTTAAAGGTTTTTGGATACGGAGCCGACACGGAGCTTTGCACGCGCAGCTAACAAACATGTCGATCACAGAATGACCCACCAATCACAAACATTCTTGATCCCAGCACTAACCACCTTCCTTAGTTTAATGCTCATGCTCTGTTTAGTACTGATTAAGTTGTCATTACCATTATATTTGGGCAAAATCAGCTCAATCTCTCTAGAATGATTAATTATACCAATAGAGCTATTGAACTAATTCGATTTTTAAAAATCCTAATATCGCAATATATATTGCAGAAAGAATAAATATTGCAATGTGATTTTTTCTCAATATCGTGCAGCCCTCCTCTTGTCTGCTCCCTCGTCAATGGTGTTATAAAGTGCCTGCCAGTCTTCTGCTCCTGAGCCCAGTCACTGATGCCATCCTTGGCTTGTTTGTAAATGTTGCTCCTGTCTGTTACCTGCTTCCTTTATGTTTTCCAGCCCTTGGTTTTAATCCCTCATGATCCTTTTGCTTTGCTCCTGCTCCCAAATAAAGCCCCGTTAGGTTTTGCCCCAAATCTTGCTCCCGTGTCCTTCTTCCAGCTATACATTGTGACAGTGACAGCTAAGAGTGGCTCAGACCAACCTTAAGAAACTATTTTTTGCATATGGTATACTTAACTAAGGACATTTTGGAAAACACGTTGGAGCATTAAGAGACAACTTAAGGTAGAATATACGAGTGACATAGCATGAAGAAGGTACGGGGAAATGCACCCCAAGTTTCTAAAAACAAAAAAAAGGAAATCATTCTTTTGGGAAAAATACCACATGTTATATTGTTACAATTAACAGAATCACTGTTAATAACTGAAACAGATATTTCAGAGGCAAAGATGTAAACCTACTATTACCTGAAAATCATGTGCACTTCCAAAAAACAAAACTATCGTTCCTCTGAAATATTCACAACATTTTATTAATCAGAACTGACTAGAGTGTTAGACCTAGATACTGGTAATGAATAAGTCACTTCGGTTGAAAAAGTTGAAAATTAAGGAAAGAAATTACCAGACGTGCAGAGAAGGCTTATAGCATTTTCTCTGACACACAGGCCAAGACTTTGAAGAGCTGTTGACATCTCAGGTGTAAGTGTCTAAGAAATGGAGAAACAAGTCAGGTCAGGTTACTTTATTTGAACAGTCCTCATCCATAGACACTAGGGGTGTAACAATATACTCAGCCGACGAGATGAGACAGGATATTGGGTTCATGAGAACGAGACTAGACGATATTATAACAGTATTTTAAGGAAAACTTCAAAGAGGAAATATATTACTGGAAACTAGCCTTTTATTTGATTAATTTGAATGACAAAAATGCTAAATAATGCAGATGTATGGTGAAATGTGTTAAATAATCACCATCATCATATGCAGTAAAGAACAAAACAAAACAAATACAATAAAATGAAATACTGTTTTACTATAACTGAAATATTAATTTGTGTGATGGCTGCTGGAACGAAACTGTTTTTGTGTCGTTGTGTTCTACACTTTGGGATTGTAAACCTGCAACCAGAGGGATGAAGCTGAGACTCAGAGATCGAAGGGTGGGAGTTGTCCCTTAGAACTGAGCTAGTTACAGTGGTACCTCAGAACTTAAACTTAATCCGTTCAGAACTCGGGTTCGAATCCTAAAATGTATGAGTTCTGATCGAATTTTCCCCATAAGAAATAATGGAAAATCAATTAAAATTACACCTGAATATGTTTCTTTTTTTAGCATTTAAACACAAAATGAACAGGATAAAACAAGAGCATACTGTATACTAAACACATCTAAGCACATTTATCAAAACAGTAATTTGTAAAGTAAGAAAATAAATGTATCCAAACAATGTGGCATGGACCTAATTAGTGCTGAGCATTTGAAATATGCCAGTTTGAGGCTTGCCCTTCTACTAGCTCTCAGCTTCACTGGTTTGATGATCCATGGAATATTGCCAGGTTCAATGATATCTACCTTACTTGTCCCAGTTATTAAGGATAAAGTGGGAAAAGTTAGTTGCCTGGATAACTATAGGCCCATAGCGTTAGCCAGCACCTTATCTAAGGTTATGGAAAGCATTTTGCTTGATAGGGTGAGTGACTACATTATTTCCCTTGATAATCAGTTTGGTTTTAAACCAAAGCATGGCACAGACATGTGTATATAAGCACTTAAGGAAATAGTGAATCTTTAGAGGACCAAAAATTAATCTGCTCTTATGTGTTTCATTGATGCTTCTAAAGCATTTGACAGAGTAAATCATAAACAACTCTTTATTAAGTTAAAGCTAGGAGGAGTCCCTGGGTACATTGTGTGGCTTCTTGCCTATTGGTATGCCCACCAGAAGATGCATATTAAATGGGGAGGTAGTAAATCTGCCCCCTTTACAGTGTCCAATGGTGTTAGGCAGGGAGGAATTTTGTCCCTTCTTCTATTTAATTTATATGTTAATGAGCTGTCTATCAGACTGCAAGCCTGCAACACTGGTTGTATGATTGGTGGGGTGTTGGTAAATCATCTTATGTATGCAGACGACCTTGTAATTTTTAGTCCGAGTAGTGCTGGGCTGCAGCAGCTTCTTACTATTTGTACGGAATATGGTGCAATATGATATAAAATATAATGCTGACAAGAGTGCTGTTTTAATATGTAGAACCAAGCTGGATGAATGGCTCAATTTTCCTGAGTTTAAATTATCTAATAATAGGCTTGAGGTCTGTAAAAAGATTAAATATGTTGGTCACTTCATTACAGACGACATGATTGATGATTATGCCATATACAGACAATGTTGTAAGTTACAGTATATGCACAGGCAAACACCATTGCACGTAAGTTTGGCTTTTGTTCTACTAATGTTAAAGTTGCATTGTTTAAAGCATACTGCATACTGCACACCACTCTATACTGCCCAATTGTGGTCATCTTACAAAAATCTAGCATGCAGAACTAACAAGTTGCATATAATGATGCGATGAGAATCCTCCTTAAGCGTCCCAGAGGAGGAAGTGCCAGTCAGATGTTTGTAATTGCAGGAGTCAGGACCTTTAAGGCACTATTGAGAAATTTGATGTTCACGTTTATGCAACATTTGGATAAATCTACTAACAGTATCATTTTAGCGAATTGAATTGAATGTGTAAAGTAAAAAAAAAGTAAAAAGGTGTCCTGCCCTGATCGTCTGCTCCTTCCGCGTGCCACGCCCCCTCGTTAACTTCATGTGGGATCCCCGTGTGATCAGCTGTTTCTGGTTGTTGTCATTAGTTCAATGTATTTAGTCCGCATTTCAGTTTGTTTCCCCAGTCCGGTCATTGTCTTGTCCGTCTGCGTTTTGCCTGCCTTACCTATAATTAAACCCTGTAGTCTCCGATACCCTGACGTCTGTTCCGTTGTCTCTGTTCCGTCCCCACTTGGCACGACAATATTATTATAATTAAATGTATTAATGGTTTATTATTAATGATATTAAAATAATTAATAAGAAATCTGTATTTTTAATTTATTTTATTATGGGTGATTCCTGTTTTGGGCCATATATTCAACTTCCTAAGTAAATATAAACTATAAAATTATAAAAAACAAAATTTATTCTTCATTATTTTGATAGACTAGGGTATACTACCTTTAGAGAAAGAAACAAATCTGGTGAAACTTATTTTGTTTTCTGTAATTATATAATATATTATATGTCCCCGCTTTCGTTTTCCACCCTGTGAGCCCCTAGTTTCTTGGCTCCCTAAAAAGGTTACAAATCCATACAGCCATTTTCAGGAAGTGACATCATTTGTTATTGGGGGGAAATTCAACTGGAAGACTAAGGTAAGCTTTAACTGTAACTATCTCCTGTATTTTTCTCAATTTTATATTACACACCGGTTTGAGGCACCCTTAAAGTTCCACCCTGTTAGTATATATTATGGGAAATATTTATTGGAAAAAATATTTTTAAAAACATGTTAAAAATAGCTATTTAAATGTTGATCAGCTGTAGACTGTGTGCTAGCTAAATGTTGCTCACTCAAAGAGCTAGAGCTAAATTAGCTAGAAATATTCCACCCTGTTAGGTCCCACCCTGTTAGGCTATGTATGGGATATGCAGCCTACTGAGTAGAAATTGTACAAGAATATTTATTATTTTCATTAAAATGACTTGTAGATTTATTATTTGAGTGTATTTCTTGTGTATGATTATGAATAATAATGGTATAATCAAAAAGTATTATTATATGAGTGTATTTTTTAATTATTTCTTACTACAGTGGTATTATTATTATTATTATTATTATTAGTTGTAGTAGTAGTATTGTTGTTGTGAATCTGAATCTACTTGTTAACCCTCTGGGGTCTGAGGCCTGGAGCCAGGCCTGGGGCGGGAGCTCAAAGGCGTGCACCCCATGGAGCCCAGTCAGGCAAAGCCTGAAGGGGTAACATGGGTTTGCCCTCCTGTGGGCCCACCACCTCTCTGGTGGGCAAGGAGCCTGAGCTGGTGCATGAGGTAGAGAGATACTGATTAGATATATTTGGGTGCACCTCAACACATGGCTCGGGCTCTGGAACCAAACTCCTAGAGAGGGATTGAACTCCATTCCACTCTGCAGTTGGCAAGTGGGAGAGGTGCTGGGCTGCGGTGTGACTGCTTATACCCCCCCGGTTTGCTGCCAGTGTGTTGGAGTTTATTCTGGTGGAAGAAAGGGCCATTTCCCATGTTACGAGACCCAGTCTACTTCGTTAAGTAGTAACAAAGCCTTTTCCAGCTGAGTAAAAACTTGTTATAATGATGCCATAAGTTTGTCCCAAGAGTCAGAATAGATAACCACATCATCTAAATAAGCTATACAGTTTTTAAATTGGGCTTGGTAATCCTGCCTCTTAATCTCCAACTAAAGTTCCCGAAGCCAAATTGTAAGGAGGATGTCCACCTTAGGCGAGCCGGGATCCCTGGGATCCATGCATACCCAAGATGCCAGGCCTTCGGCTTCTGCCATCGTAGGCGACTGGATTGGGCAAGGTGCAACACCCGAGAGATCCCCAGGCTCCGGCAGGATTCCCTGTGTGACCAATTCGTCCTGTAGGACCTGCTTAATCTCCCGTTTTGAGGCATCAACAGGGATCACCACGTTAAAGAAGCCCGTGATGGCTGCCAGATCAGCCATCCTGCAACAGTCAAATTGCTCCTTTGTGGGGCACAGGGTAAACTCAAGCAAGCCAAACTTAGCCATACTAATGTCAGTTACCAGGAGTTCCCCTACTAAAAAGACAAAAAGACTGGGTGACACAGACAAAACAGAGGGACGATCCCACCAAGCTTTATTAGTTTGATCCCGGACGAGCCCCCAATTTCTATTACGAGCCCCAGTCTAGAGTTGGAGCGTAACAGAATGAAAGGGGAAGTGGAGTATGAGAAAGACAGGGTATGATGGACAAGGGAACACAAGTGGACAAAGGGGTATTTTTTGTATTTTTATGTTTTTTATTGACACGCCACAGACACAGAACAAATAAACCGAGTGCAAAAGGACTCAGGAGTGACTAAGGCTAAAATGATAAACAAAACCCAGCTTTCGAACGCAAACCCACAGCTAACTTACCTAATTGAAAAGAAAACAAAACCCAACGACAAATTCTACATCTAACTCCCTATCCAAATA